AATAGTCATCGACGTCGCATTTATCGTAACGAACTCATTCTTCTCGAGGATAGCGTCACGAATAATATCACCCGGACGTACGAAGGCGGGATTTCGCTCCGATGCCTTCTCACGGCGCGTTTTATGCGCTGAATGCCGCCGTAAATCGGCGAGTTTCTTTTTTCTCCTTTGCACGAGACGAAAAGTCGCAAGTTGACGTTAAAAGCTCACCGCCCTCGCTATATTAACCGTTTATTCGCTATAAATTCGTATTGTTCGGCTCAATGGAAAATTACGAGTAGTGCATGCCATTATTAATGCAATATAATTAATAGATAAAGCCATGTTGCGCGCTATTGTGACATTAATTTCGGAAGATAAATTGAAATAAACGTTAGCATTATGTGTGTATTGCAACACGCGACGCGTGCTGCAGTCGTGTAAAACTATCCGTATGAATTTCAAATTTCATGATAATCGCGGCGCGATATCGGATATTGTTAGATTAAACGATTAAAGCGAGATGGTCGATGCGATATCTATTGCGCGCGTAAGACAGGTACGCACGAAACTTTCGAAAGATTTTTCAGAGTTTTATTTCCTCGCCATCTCGATTAATGACGTCGCAAGCGAGGAAACGTATGCCAAAAATTCTTGTTGGAGATAATGTTATCTTATCTCAAAATTATCTAAAACGATGTTATGGTCCATATTCTGATACTCACTTTTCGATTAAATGAATGAAATAATACGGACCTATGCGTACTCCGTGTTGATACACTGGTTGTACTTTAGAGAATAAGCAGTAAACAAATTGGCGGACTATATAATCGACTGTTTCCCTTACGGTTCAAGAATAATCAACTGTTAGTCAATTTGTTTGCAATCTACTACTTACGTTCTTGAGTGTTCTCGGTCATCGGTTCTATCGCGCTAAAAGTCTCCCGGCGAACCACGATTTCCGTATTCGCATTCAACTATCGCATTCACGACAGGATCGAGACAATGTGGTTACAGTCAATTAAGCATGTTACCGTCAAGACAAGTACCGTCCGCGGGATCCTTATAAAAAGTAATACTCTGAAAGGAAGCAATAGCCAACCTTTCAGCCCAAACCACTCGAGGCACTACGTGAAAGGTTTAGATAACAGTAGATAGTTACTTAAAACTTCGTCCAGCTTCCTTCTCGGAAGTGGCCGGTCGCGCACCGTTCCTCCTTTTTTCACTCTCGCCGCTCTCGACACTTCTTCGTCTTCGTCCCACTGCTGTCCGCCTCTTTTCTGATCTTGCGCGTCTTTCCACCGTTACCTTTCATCCTCCGAAAGGTCTTCAGGCACGCCCGCGAACTTCCAAGCGACAGTTTGACAAAATGCAAATTTCGTTTTCCTGACAATAATAGTTTTTTCTTCTCTCTCTCTTTCTCTCTCTTTCTCTCACAGGAATGAAGACTCAAGTATCATGTCGAGCTCCATAGAAAGTAAAAGACTGAGTGAGAAGAAAGTATCCAAAGATGCAAGGTTTAGTGAATTATATATGAACGTGGGTGATATGTAAGTAATTGAGGAAAGAAATCAAAACGGAGGTGTACAGATACGTGTCTTGTATGAAGATCTTTCATCCGAGTTGCCATAAGCAGCACAATGTTTACAATTCATCGAATGGATTAGTACCTCGCACAGAAAAAGTGGAAGTGTTTATTTTGAGAGGAAGGAATTCAATGGAAGAACGTAAATTGTTAATTGTCGAGGGAAGTAAAGCGTCAGGAAGCGCAATCGATAATAAGCTGGGTGACGTGTATAAATGGATAAAAGAAATGAAAGATAAAATAATAGAAAAAGATGCAATCAGAGAAATCATAATGGAAACCATTGATGAGGAAATGGACAGAGTAAGGCAAGAAATACAATGCTAGATGGTAGCAAAGTCGAAATTACTGATAAGCGATGCTGTGAGAAATGAAATACAGAAGACAAGCAATTTGACGAGTTACAGGAACGAGGAAGAGTTACAGTTAAATTATGAAAAATAAGGGCGAGTCGGTATTAATCATCAAACCGAAGGAAGAAGTGGACAACTCAAGTGAAGATGCGAAGAGGGAAATTCAAAGTAATTGGCATATGTAAAACTAGCCGAAGAGCAGAAAATGTTACTGCCTGATGGTTTTCAAATGTTTCACAGTTTACCGTATGAAATCAAGAGGGAGCAAAGGTTATAAAGTTTTAGGAAAATGTTAGCGCAGTACATAAGAATAGAAAGAGTGGAGGAAGTTAGGAGTACGACTTAATTGAGGCTAATAAAATATGAAAATAATACATTTCAGTAAATAGATAATGATTATTATATTCTGTAGCTACTGGAGCTAATAAATGTCTCCCCCTCCCCCTTTCTCTCTCTTTCCGTATATCTATCTTTCATTCTCTCCTTTCTTATCGCCAATTTTTTCCTCTACTTCTTCAAGATTCACTTCAGCCTCTTCGCGCCGATGTACTCTAACCCTGCTGTCGACAATTGCGCGTTCTCCTGATCGCTCGCGCTTTCTCTATTCTCCAACGGCTACGTTCCTCTTTTTCCTTTTTCTGCTGTCTGCTTCTATTCGACTCGTAGATCTTCGACCCGCCGTCAGACACCGTAGAGCAATATTCACGAGAGTTTGCTACTAGAGACTCAAGTGATTAAATTAACCCCAGCGAATCTCGAGCAATCCCTTTTTATTCGCTCGGTATCTACGCGCGTATTTGTTTGAGAACGAGGCATCAAACTATTTCGTCCGATTACATATGACATCTGCACGGTCGTAAGCGCCAGGGTCTTTATGATAAGCGATGTTGGCTGAAGCCCGACGCACGTTTTCAAAGCGTAATAGAAAAAAAGAGGAAAAGGGGAGAAAAGGGAAAGAGAGAAAGGCAGAGAGAGAGGGAGGGAGAGAGAGGAGTGAGAAGCAGGAAGAGAGAAGGAGGGAAACGAATCCTCTCATGAAGTATCTCCTTTTCACGGTGGATGAATCCCGGCGAACGGCGCCCCTAAAAAGAGATAAGCGCGAGAAAGGGATTTTTTTCCAGCAAGTTGACGTGGTCGGTCGCTCGGACAGACAGGCGGACGGTGCAACTTCTCGCTCTCCAGCCTTTCTCATAAATAATAAATGGCCAAATGGGGCTTGGTCAGACAGCCAGTACATTCACGTCTGTCTGAACCACGTAGTGCTTTAAAGCGCTTCCCACGTGTCGCTCGAGAAAATGAAAAAAATGGGAGACGCGTGTCTTATCTGTTGTTTTAAGTGCGCCGATTATTCTCAATCGCACGGAAACAAGCGCCGGGCTCGAAAGGGAAAAATTCGATCCATCGTCGCTCGAAAAATCGCTAGGTCGTGGAAACTAACGGCGTCCTTAGCGACGGCGAGCTCGCCATTTTTCCCGCGAAACTTTTCCGCCCGGTGACGAAGGATTTTTTTCCAGGTGGTATTCCTTTCTTATCCTTCCGTTCCGGGCAAAAAACAGGGCGGAAGTGAGCTTGGGAAATTTACAGGATACACATGTTACATCCTGCGGACTTTGCGCGCAACATAAATTGTTTTTCTCATGATAGAAACATACACATTTGGCCGAGCATTGATCCGTAATAAAATCGAAAAAATTAAAGGAATGATAGAATCTAACGAAGCCGACGGGAAACTGTAAACGTTATCTTGCCATAAACTTGCCATAGAATGTCCATCTATAAATTTTCGGCTAAATATTTTGAAAAATATGTATTTTTGACCAAAAGTGTTATATATAAAAGCTGTAAAGTTATATGTGACGTATTAAATAGTAGGATTAGTATAACCTCAAATAGCATTGCCACGGTCACGTGAAGGTCCTTCAATTTCTTAAATAGAAATCCCCATTTTTTATTACATATTCAAGTAACTCATCTCGAAAGTTTTGCAAAACACTATAACAACGTAGTTTTTTGTAAAGTACTTTGCGAGTTATGAAGTTTCCAAGGTGTACCACGTGAAGGTTACACGTATGGATTTATATCCCTTTGTATGTCACACATACACACACACACACGCACGCACGCACGCACGCACGCACACGCGCACGCGCGCATATTTATGCAGTAGGAGTCAATATAAATGAAAATTATACTTAATAAAAAATTGCTACTATGCATCGCTTACGAGATAATCAGCGTCTTAAGTATTAAACTAGATTGTAAACTGATTGTTGAATTTGACTGGAATGTCAAGGAGGCTGAAGCAAAAGGAATAAGATTTTATCGATGAAACATTAATAAAATAGAATAAAATAGATGAAACATTTGTTAACGCATAAACAACATTTCTCATTGTTGATCGTAGCATTTTTTCTGTAATGCTTTCAACAACCATAATAATCTTATATCGTAAATCTTCTTAATTTACAGAAATAGTTGCATACACAATGTCCTTAACAGAATCCTATACGAGTCTCCCTGTTGCACGGACATTTATTCATGAATATAGATGCCTAGGATATCAGATTTTGTGAGCAAGGCATTTTCGATTTCCTTGTTAAATTCGATCGATATCGCGGCTACTTTCTGATTTATGGGGATAGCCTCATGGTGAAACACAATAACCTACATGTCTATGAAAAATGGGACTCGTTTATTCCGGCGGGCAACGGCTCACGCGTTTAGCGCATCGAATACGCGAATATCTGATTTTCGCGATTCGACGTTCTATTTCTCAACCTCGGCAAGAATAGAATTCCATTAGCGGTACACAACATACGCACGTATACGTACACACACGAGCGTGAGCACGAGTGTGCACGTGTCCGCACATTTTGATACAATAAGTAACAAATATTGATTTTCCGCAGAATGATAGAAGGAAGGGAGGATGTGTATAGACGCCCTCTTTTATATATTTTACTTCCTCAAATTTCGTAGCTCGGCACGACCGTAGCAGAGGCCCTCTGAGAGCTTTGGACCAGCCAGCGCTTCGGCACAGAGAGCCTCTGACCGAAAGAAGATATAATTATTTCCGTGGTAACTCAATATCTGTTTAAATTCGACTTCGTGCCATAATTCGCGAAAATCGGTATTTTCCTCGCTGGCGGCTTTAACGGGCTGTAATCCAGAATGGGTAGTACCGTTGTGCGGACGATCGGCGCGTTCGTAAGTGTTTTCGATCCTGCCCTGGTCCTGTGTCGCGAGTACAGAGACGAGAACGCGGCCACCATCAGGTAGTAGAGTAGCTCGATGACGCTGAGCAACGAGCCGCCCAGAAATAAGCCGATTATACCGCCAAAAGACACTAAAAAGGGGTATGCAAATTATTCAGGTCGAGTCGCTAGTTTGGTGATCGTGGCGAGGAAAAGGAAGAACATAAGGTGATTGTGAATGTGCGAAAAAGAGGGGAAAAAAGAGGAATAATGTTTAGGATAGTATTGATGGACAGACCTTACATTTAAGATTGCATCAAGTTCATCTCCGGATTCTGCACGGATCGTTTCAATGGCTACGAAGTATTTAAAAATTAGAATGTCTAAATAGCACGATAAATTCTTAAAATATTCTTGAAATGATCTCCTTTCCCGAGTTGTAATTTTTCAACAATTCACAGAAGATTACTACGAGAATATTTCAAGAGGTTACATATATCATGATTAGAATTCTTGAGAACTTTTTGTAATCATATAGAATTATTTCATATCAACGAATGTATATTTTGTGAATTCAAGAGGAATAGAATGTTAAAAAAATACAGAGAGAGGACGACAAAATACACAATAAATACCAACTAAAAGTAACATTACAGCAATATTACAGTTTCCTATTAAACAGTGTAAATATTATATGAGATATGACGAATGTCCTAGGAAAGTATTATTGGCTGTTCAATAATAAATTCCTTAACTCTCTATCTACAGTAAGTGGTAGAGTAAGAGCGTATTGTTCATATCTCCACTAACAGATGGCGCACAAGTTTCCTTAGTGTTTTCGTTTGTCGGTACCTTAGCGTTTAGGTTATACCAGTAATTTGGCTTGTTATTGAATCGCAATGTGACACAAAACAAAATGAGTGCAGCGTACGCTAGTCGGTTCGAGCAGTGTTTCTGTGTACACACCCAAAAGGATAAAAAATGACCTATGCAGCTGCTGCCTGATACATAAGTAAATCTCCTGAGTTCGTAAGAAAGTAGGTGAGGCGTTATAATGAGACGAAAACGGTCGATGATCTGCCAGAAGGGGCCTCCAGCGCGCTACGGCAAAAAGAGAGGACAAAGTGATCGTGAGGATATTTGAGAAGAATCCTGCATGTTCTTTACGACTGGCTCAGAAAATCTTAACACATTAACGGCGGGCGATCTCGACGAAAGTATGCTAGGTAGCGCGGCGGCCGCCCGCCTCGTTTTTCGGTCTAGAGCGGGCGATATTCTGTGTGATCATAAAAACTTTAAGGTACAGTCGAGCTAAATCGTATTACTACGACTCCCGCCCTTAAGCAGCAGTCGAGCTAAATCGTAGTTACTACGACTCCCGCCTTTAAGCAGCAGTTGAGCTAAATCGTAGTTACTACGACTCCCGCCCTTAATGTGTTAATTAAAAAAATATATAGAAGTGAGAACCATCAAATGTCGATTGCTTGATTCTGGTTATAAATGGCGAAGTACAGTACCGAAACCACTTTTGAACCCGAAACACGTTAAAGACCGATCGCTGTGGGCAAAGGAAAATATTGACCGTGATTTCTCGAATGTTATCTTTACTAATGAAGTCTCATTTTGGGCATGGGTTCCAAAGAAGCGTCGTGCATGGTCAACTCATGAAAATCTTCTTGTCCAGCGCACAATAAAACATTCTCTTAAAATACACATTCTCTTAAAATACACATCTGGGGATACTTTTGTAAATAGGGATTTGGAGTTTTACTTTTTTACGGACAATTTAAATGCTGAAAAGATGAATACGATTTATGAAAAATGTTTGTTGAAGTCCACTAAGAGATGGCTTGGACCTAATAATAACTCGTGGGTGCCCCAAGAAAATAACGATCCCAAACACCGAAGTCGTGCGCGCATGGCCTGAAAACGTGAAAATGGCAAATTTCATATATGATTTTTTTTCCGGGCTTCCAAAGACTTTGGCTGAAAATCTTGTCGAAAGCATGTTTCGATGTCGCCGCTTCTGAATGTTTCGTTTCTTTTGTAATAATATTCAATGATCGTTTGGAAAGACCGGGATAAAATGGGAAAAATATGGAAATCTTTAATAGCTCCTGCATACAGGAGCGCGGCAACGCTTACCGCGTGGCGGAAGTTCGCGTGATAGCTAATCAACGTGCCACTTTTCTGTAATAACCTTCTAGCTGCTTCGGAAAGCAGCACATTGATTGTGTTTTTCTGACATGTTTACTAAGAGGTCGCCGTGTATTTTAGTATAGTTAAAGTATGCTGGAATATTGAAAAACTCATGCAGCTAGTGTCGTTCAGCAGAAAATCTCACGAACGGAGGCTGTTCGTAGTCAATCATTAAGCGCTTTGTGAGCTGCTTTTTCCACCAAATATCACCAGTATGCGATAATTTTATTGAATATGACATTTAATTTTAGATACACAATATTGGAAAAAAGGAATTAATAATTGCCAGCTGTTTGCATCCCAAACTCTTTTTATCCCCGAGTCACTTTTTACCAGTAACGGTAAAAGTAACGCGTTACTTTTAAGAAATAACTTTCCCAATTCCGGCCATATCCATCATACAAAGATAAAAAAGGTGATGCACCTATGTTGCTTACAACAAAATATTTTCAGTCGTGCGATCTTGATTGTTCCGTATCTTCTTTTTTCGTATATAGTAACGAATAAAATTTTACCGACTTTTCACTATTTCCGACTTTTCTACCTGCCCCCTTTCCATAAACTAATGCGTTTTATTAATCCGACGCGCGTCAAGTTTGAAATCCTTGTTTAAACGCAGTATGAAATTTTGTTCCAGATGGCAAAAAACCCTATTCAGAACGAAGCCGCTTTAAATTCATTTGTTATCTCCTAGCGGGAACATATAAAGGAACACTTTGTAAGGAAGGAACGCAATAGTGCATAACAAACGCGGCTTTAAAACATGTAGAGTAATATACCGAGAAGGTCCAGTTGCGTGATAACTATGTCCGTCTTGTAGCGGAAAGTAGTTTGTCCGATGAAATGCACGTCCAACACTACATCGTTTATAGCATGCAGGGGCACGTTGGAATAGCGGCTGTTGTAGACGTAGTAGTCGCATTCCGGCGGGCAGTCGCAGATCATAGCGCGACTATTCTCAGGGACTTCCTCTTCCGCGTGAACGACGTAGTCGTTGAATAGATCTTATTGTGTTCGAAGAACAAAAAATAAAAATAAAAATATCGCCAGTACGTATGGTTTACGCGATGTGATAATATGACAATTGTTAACTTCTCTTTCTCTCTCTTTCTCTCTCTCATTCTCATGTGAACACCTTTAATTCTACAAATTTAATTTAAATACTATCTTAAACAGCTTATTTTGACGCCAAAACAGCGAAAACGGAAGTTAAGACTTTATCAGGTTCAAAGTAGGACTAAATTATATTATTAGAATTAAAATTGCGTGAAGTTATTTTGCTATCTTAACTTCTACCTTCTAGTCTTCTACTGTGCGTTATAGAATTCAAGATTTAATACAGGACCGAAATTTCGACTGGGGTGAAGACACTTGCTTACCGTTAAAATTGGCCAGACAGACGAGATCCACGGCGTTGCAGTCGCGCTCCGGGGCTGAAATGTAACGAAATGTTAATGACGTCGACGCCGGTGTCGACGTCGATCCTCGAGATGTGAAGTCGTACTTAAGGGGAAGAAAAACGACGGGTTACAACCGCAATGCTTGATGACGTAGGTGCGTTTGCATTGCGACAGACAGGTCTCCTGGTTGTATTCGCCGGTCGCGTCGTACTTGCACGGCGTCCTGCTCTCGTCCAGTTTAAGCACGCCCTGGGTGGCGAAACCGGAGACGCAGTCCACGGACAGACTGACTAACGAACCCGACGGGATCATAGTGCCACTATTGGGCCAGACGTGTGGCTCATTTATTAGCACCACAATACCGCCGATCTCAACTGCAACACACACACACACACACACACACTTACATCGCCGTTGACTCGCGCACGTCGCCGGCTCGCAATCTTTCACGTGAGAATTTTCATTGAGAACGGAGAACAGGCACGGTCAGAAGACACTCGTAATTTTCCTTTTTCAATTTGCGAGCCATTCGTTTCCAACGCTTCTTCTATTTTACACCGCCACTTCCGTCGCTAACTACGTTCGGAACAGCTTAGAACCGATACCGGGGAGAGGTCTTTGGACGCGACATTTAAATAACCGCTTCGCAATACGGCGCCGATACATCGATTTTGCAGTTTGCGATAAATCCCCGGCTATTCCGCACCCGGGTAAGTAATAAAGGAGGGACATTATGGTCGGAACGGTAGTCGCGCGTTCTATTCAAAATGCGTCATAGTGGACGGCGGGCTTCGCGAGGATATTAAAATCGTATTTGCAAGATTCCGCGGCGCGTTTGCATAATGCGCGGATTAGTATAGCAGCGATATGTCGTTTGTATACATTTCACTGCTATCATTTAGCGCGAATACCGACAAAAATAATATTAGTCATTAATCCGCCACGATTTACCCGAGTTTACGTTCCGCTTGCTATTATGGTTCGTACCGACTCTGCACCTTTCGCGTGCGACACGTAAGAAGGTAAATAATCAATTATTACGCTAACGTACAAACATGTTGATGTCTCAAAAACGGTTGAGTGTTCGATTTACGTTTGCTAAAGTTTTTCTACTCAGTAGAGTTCGCGTTATCTGCCATATAGGTATTCAATGGTTTTTCCGAACGCCCTGTGTATGAAACAATGATCTCCTCGATCAGAGTGTATGAATTGATCTTGAATTGACTAGTTTTTCTCTTCTGCATACCGCATCCGCTCAATCCGCACAATCTTAACACCTTTCTTCGGTTCTTCGCGTCGGAAGGTCGAGGGCCGCGCGTCTGGTCACGTAGAATATTGCGTCGGTGTCCCCCTTCAGTGCTACTTACCGGAATCCGGTGGCTTCGTTATGTTTCCCAGATGAATCGTAACCTTGAGACCGCTCCATTCGCCGTAACCGGACGCTCTTCGTGGCCGCGACTCCGGATGGCGTCCGCCGTGGGTGTTCCACGATGGTTCCGCCACTTCTGAATTGAACGAGTAGCAGAATCCATACTCGGTGCGCTGCACCTCAAAGATTTCGCAACAGTTGCGATTGCCGTTGCGCCACCAGCAGCCGGACATGAACTCGTCGCAACGCGGCATTGCTTCGTACAACACCTCGGTCACGTTGATATCTGCTCGCGATGACAATCCCTCGTTACTTCTGATAGTATGCACACGAAGGTGAAAACGTTTCGGCGAGAGTGCAATATCGATTTCAGCGACGTTGCCAAAATCTATACCGTACTGTAATGCTGCTGATGTTTCATGCAAATGTACACATGTGTCGATATTCTCGACTAGTAAAGGAATGAAATTGGCCGAAGTAGAGAGAGTACGTTATAGGTCGGGCATGCTTGCACGGTAAAGTCTACAGTGAGCGCCAAAAGTTTCGGAACGGTATCGAAATAATCAATTTTCAGGAGGAAAATATTAAAAATAAAACAATAACAAGCTGTGAGATTTAAATTAGGTGTATTTAATGGCGGTATTCATTTGACCTTGGATGGCGTTGCTAAAATGAGGTCAAAGTTAGCTTGAACTTTTTCAGTGAAACCATATGATTTTTAATACGTCAAACACCGAGTGGTTACCGATCGGATTTTCTGTTCATAACGCATATTTTATGCTATTTTTTGTCTTTATAATAATGAGTTTTGTCTTACAAATATTATAAAATATAATATTATAAAGATATGTAATAAAAATATATAATAAATGCCGTGATCGTGGATTCCCATGTAAAGTCACCAGACATTATAGCGGGGCCAACGCTTGCCCGATGCTACGGTAATTAACTGTTGGCCAAAGTTTCGACAGCCAGCATTGACAAATGACTGGTTATCTGTTTTACAGGATAATCCGACATCACAACGGTGACTAACATCGGCTTAGCCGATGTACGGCTGCCAGCTCGTCGGCCAAGATTTTTCCAGCCAGTACTGGGCCAGCACTGGCAACTGACTTTCCGCCAATTTACTGAAATCAGCGTAGTATGGTAACGTCGAATACTGCTGCAACATAAGGTGGTCACTCACCCAGTATGTGTAGCAATGTGTTGCCAGTATTGCGCCAATATCAGAACTGTGGCAAACAGTACTGGACCAATACTAGGCTAATTGTGAAACCCTACATGGATATATCAATGGTCGACGCGGCATGAATGGAAAGTCACATTAAAAATTAGCACTCAACGTATTAATAAAAATCGATTCCTCTAGTCATTCTATAAAATCAATTATTAAAAACAAAGAAACAGAGGAGAATTACAAAAGAGGATTAGTTTCATTTAACAAATGTATTTCGAACTTTCCGAAACTTTTGCTGCTCACTGTATATAGGAAGCAAGGAATAAGCTGTCCTACCCGCGAGATTATGAATATTTTGACTTTGATTCTGCAGAAAATCCAGCTCGTCGAAATCCCCGAAGCTCATCATGGAGAGCCTGCCGAGTATCTTGCGAAACATTTCGAGACTCGCCTTGTCCGTGACATTAGGGAAGATCCTCCGTTCGAATTCGAGGACTCGGTTCCAGTCCACCCGGTCGTTCGAGCACAGGGTCACGCTGGGAAAGGGCAGGCTGGAGATTTTGTAATGCATCGACTCGATGCCGATCGAGGTCGGCGCGGCCTGAACAAATTTATGCGCCGGTTACATTGTCGATGCCGTAAAGCCCGATGAGAGGAGTCCTGTTGCCGCGATATCATCGACATTTGCTATCACCGAGCGGTATTCGACATCGGAAATAATTGGTTATTCAAATCTTTGCGAAGAATTATATACAAGGTAACTCTGTCGAGGAAATTGCTCACATACGGCTAATCGAAAGCTAGATTGCTAATTCCTTTGTGCCCGAGGAGAAAAACGGGCCTCTGAAATTACGTCATGCGTGGAACAAAGGATACGTACATCTGATTGGTTGAATATATATATATAAGCCGATGTTCATACACACACGTACCTGCATACGACTATACAGGGTGCGCTGTTAGAATCTGGAAAACATTTTATCAGAAAAGTCGTTTATTACAGCCAATTATTAAAGACGCAAAGAAATACTTTAATATTCAACTTAAGGGATCCTTCCTGAGTCCTTTCACTCGACATGCACCTCGACACTGGTCTTAAAACGCGAGCGTGCCATCTTCAACTGGATCCGACGACTAACTATTTTCATTAATTTCAGTAGCACCGCGCAAAACATTAACGAAGCTTTCTTTTAAGGGTTTATTCGATATATTATGAAAGTCCTTCATAGATAGAAACATTCTAATAATAAACCAGATGTCACTCTTTAACGAAAGAGTCGGAGATACCTTGACTTTTACTTGAAGGATTCTTGAAGTTACCTGGTAACTCATCGCCAACGTATAGATCACTTTACTGGCGATGACAGAAGACGCGGCGAACACGACGAGCCATAGTAATCGTTCGATGACGTGTAAATCCGAATCGACGACGTATCGCAGACCGTGGAAGGACGTTTGCGTGCAGTAGTAATTCAACGCGTGCAGGATTGTTTTGAATCGCTTGCCCGGACTGCGGTTCTTACGCGGCTCAACTCGTGCGGCCGTTTTCTTCGCGACTTTCATCAGTTTCTTTAGCTGCCGCCGAGTCGGCTTCATGTCTGAAATGACGGCCGGGGGAGCGTGAAGAAGAGAGAGAGAGAAATCTGTGCGATCTTCGAGGCTCAAATCGAAATTAAAAGATCCTCGAAAACTCGAGGCTAATTCTAGCAGTGCACCCTCATGTTCGGGACAAGTAAATTAGTAAATCAAGAGAGAGAGGAGAGAGAGAGGGGGGAGTCACCCGCAGGATAAAATAATCCTCGCTCAGCCTCGTTCCGTCGACACAGCTGAGTCCCGGGTACTTAACACCGACAGAGTGAATACATCTTATGATCACCCCTCGCGGTCAGAAGCGGTACTAAAGCAGCCCTCTTGAAAACGTCCTCGACAAAGGGAGGAAATTGAGCACGCCTTATCCTACTCGTCCCTCCTTCGCCCCCACTTTATCACTGGATCCGTGTAAATAAAATTCCATCAATTATAAGTGAGATAGGGACATGCGAAGGTCGAGGGATGGAGGTGCACATGTTTGAACGCGCGCCCGATGTGATCAGGATAATTCGGTTAGCGTGATTGTTGCGCAAACAGTATCGACACGAACGAAAAGGGACTCCTCCCTCCTCCCTTTCTCTTTCCTTCACCATCCCGGCTTCAATGTCCACGAATAATGAAGAAGCCCCCGGGGGTCGCGAGAACGCTGAATTTGATTGCATCCCCTGGTATAATTTGGACGGGAGAAATCAGAATTCGGCGGTTCGTTCGGGCAACATCACGCCGCGGAAAGCCATCGACGTTTCGGCTTTTCGATCCTGATCTCTCGAGCTCGACGAAATTTCGGTTAATTAGAAGCGCAATATTCGTTCGGTTGACGTGCGCACATCGGTTTTCGTACGACTGTTTCAATATCGGTCGAATGAGTTCTTTGGGCAAGGAATAACTGATTTATCGAGAGATGGAGAGAAAGTGGGAAAAAGAGGTCGGATTAATAACAGAAATTACTGTTTGTTCCACGAATGTGCAGCTGTTCTTTTATTTATCCCGTTATCCTTCTTTATTCGAACGCATAACTTTGCATTCCTGATTTCCCGCATTCTTCCAGCACTCGTGGATTATTTTAGATTGTTTCGGGAATTTTTCTAGCATTATTAAGCTCCGTTTCGACCCGAGATGCACCGCTATTTCGGTGCATTTATACTCGTTCGCCGATTAAACGAATGGCTAGCGAATTCACGATGGCAATTTCTTCGTTCGAACAATCCCGATGATGCAATCGACGCCACACTATTTGCGCTTCGCTCTAGCTGCGCTTCATTATCCGGCGGATGGAACCGACGTTCTATTAACTGCGCGGCAGCAATCGCTGTAATATTAGTTTCGCTTAAACATCACAGCTTTTCATTCTGCACGCACACCGCATGCGTTCGATTCGGTTCGTGCGGCGCCGCAGCTTGCGAATCGATCGAATATGTAGTTACGTCGCAATTATTTGTATCTTGATGCTCTTCGAGCGAAATATTAACAATGGAGACCTTTTGAAAAATCCGATTGGAAGAAAGTAAGAGAAAAGGACAGTCGAAATTTTCATGCTATTTAGATGCTTTTAAAGATGGTTTTCGTATATTTAGATGATTTATTAAGTCGATCAGTCATCGGTCGATGGTAAATATTTTATTAGTTCACTTATTAGTCATGAAAAAAGGCTTAGATATCACAGTGACATATCTGGGCTAATAATTAATTATGGCTTTGTGAGTTTTTCTCATCTAATAATTATCTTCGACATTTCTAATGATCTTACAATAGAAAGAAAATTGTTTAATAGAAATCGAGAGGGTGCCCAAAAACAGCCTTACTGACCTTCCTCTTTTCGAATATTCACAACATTTGCTTTATCATTGATTCGACACTCTCGACGATTATCGTTGTTCTGTTGTGATAAAAAATTCACTTCTTACTAAACGAGCAGCGCGCTCGAAAAAAATATTTTCCTGCCTTATAATTCAGTCGTACGGTAACTCCTAAATATTTTGAATTTTATGACCATTGTTTCCCCGATGTTGCGGAACAGTTAGAGATATACGCAACCGCCATGTACTCGTGACACGTTCATACACGTGAGAACGCACACAACTGTTCTACGAAATTTCTCACCCGGAATTTCACCGATTCGCTGCACGCGTATTCGCGTGCAAATCGCGCAACGATCGAGCCGAAATTTTGCGCGTAATCGAGGCGCGGCGGTCCGCGAAAAATTTCGACAACGTCGAAACGACTCTCAATTCTCTCTTTTTGCCTCTGCCGTAGATATTTCTCGTTTTTCGTTTCTCTTGTACCCCTTATTTTCTCGATTTTTATCCCGCAATTTCGTTATCGTTGTTCTCACGCACATTTGTTCATTTAAATATTATCTTGAATAAAAGTTGCGTTGTGTGTGCGGCACAATTTGTACGCGGTTATCTGTCGGTCTCCTCGGTTTCATGATCGTCTCAACTACACACCCGTTTCGACGATTGTTGTTTCAACGTAAGAAATAATTAATTTCTTCCCTTCATCCTTCACGGCTTCGTTCGACACGTCGGTCATAGAGCGAGTTGCAGATTTCCAATTTGTATTAGTTCCATTTCACCGGCCGAGTTTTATTTTCGAACACAGCCATTGTGTTGATTGTACCAGTCGTAATACTGCTACATTAGTCTCAATGTCGGATCAACGAATGTTGATTTATCCGTCAAACGAGCAAGCCACTCTAAAATTCCGAAGTTACCCCGCCGTAATTCGAGTCTCCGACGAAGAGAAATTTCTCGAACTTCTTTCTCCCTCCTTCTCTTTCTTCTTCTTCTTCGTTTTACCTTATTTTCAAGTAATTCTTCTCTTTAACGTAACGCGTGTCTGTACCGGGAAGTGTCAAAGCAAATATTTTTTCAACTCCTCTTTCTTGTCGAAGAAACCTTTCTGACATTTTCGCATTTAGAAAAGCTCATCTGAAATACGATAACAAATCTTTCGTTCCTAATGTCCGTTGTAATTAACCCTCTAAACGACGATTGTTTGTTAACACTAAATTAGTGTTGCTCGCGCTAAATATTGAATTGGAAGGAAAGTAATGTCGTATTTTTCCAACAGACGACTTTAGTGTGCTTTACTACATTTTGTTCTCTTTATCGATTTGGCGTTACATCATGCGTTTGTGACAAATGTGGCAATTTCGATTCGATCGAAGGACTCTCGAATGAAAAGAATCTGGAAGTAGTTCCAGGACACCTTGTATATTCGCGTGGTATTACATGCTGACCGATGTCCGGTCGATGATCTACGATAA